CTCCGTACCGGACTCCGCGGTCGACCTGGTGTTCGCGGCTTCCGCGGCGTCGTCGGCAGCGGACTCAGAGGCCGAAGTTGACCCGGCGTTGGTGGCTTCCGCGGCGTCGTCGGCAGCGGACTCAGTGGCGCCGGCGAAGAACGAGGCTGGGCGCAGCCGGCGCTCGTCTGGGTAGAGCGCGAGACTCGTGTGGCGACCGGACGAGGTCGTGGGTCCGCCAATCTCCACCTCGTCACCCTCTCGTCCGGCAGGTCCACCAAGATAAGTCGCCACGGGAGGAACGACACCCCTGGATCCAGGCGTCGTCCTTCGCAGACCTCGGCCGACGGAGGAGGGCTCCGGTGTCGGGCGACGGGTGCCCTTGCGGCTGGGGGACGCTCAGGTCCCAGCCTCCACGAAAGCTCCGGCTCGTGGTCCGACGGAAGACTCCCGGGTGGAGCGGCGACGGGCGCTCCTGCGGCCGGGGGACGGTCCGGTCCCCGCTTCTTTGCCCGCGGGATGGTGGCGGTCGTCCTTCTACTTCGGCGTGAACTTCGCCCGGATGGGCAGAGGAAGGAGGCAGAGGAAGGAGACAGAGGCCTGGTAGAAACTTTTCGATCGAAAGGCCGGGACTCCCGCTTCCTTCCGATCGCAAAAGAGACAAGCTCGCTCTGTGAGGTTACGAGGACTCAAGGTGCTTCAGGATAACGGCCTACGAGGTAAGCTCACGTTATCCTGAAGCGAGGAATCAGGCTGAGGACCTCCCACGGAGTCATACATATACCCGGCGTGGGTGTTTCTTCCTTACGAGATTTGTCGTGGCGCCTGCGGCGCCTAGCGGCGGCGCCGCGCACCACTCTCGTCACATGGCGGGCGCGCGCGGGCTCGGCGCGCGGGCCGAACGCGCGTGCATTATTGAAAGCGTACCGCTACAAAATTAATGAAATTTTAAAAAACTTGTCACGTTTTCATTAAAAACAATTCAGAGGTTATTTTTACACGAGCCGACAAGAGCAACATTACTGTGATCTTGGATCGTAAACGTTACATTGACAAAATAACAGTCATACTTCAGCACAGTCGCATATACACCTTAATAAAAAAAATCCTACAAGAAGATTAACTAGTAATCTAAAGAGCTTGTTTGCAGGATGAAAGAACTCGGAATATATATTGTTACGTCCAACCCCAAGATATTTAATTTGGGTTGTTGAGTGAGAATGAATAACGTGTGAGAACGAGATGGGACTGGAAGTGGAGGGGGTAAGAAAGGGCGCAACTAGACAAACTCGCAGATACGCGCAGAGACGGACGATGCGAGTCGAAGGCGCTTTAACGGGTTAAGAAATGAGTCAACGTCCTAAAAAGGACGATATTACTCATTTGTGCCAACCAGCGCGATCATTGGTCCTGTTTTAGTCAGGGAACTTAATCCCTATGACTTGGGATCGGACCTGTGCGATTCTCCG